TGAGTGTTTGCCTTCATGTAATCAAGCCTTTCACCTGAAGGATTTGCCCTTCCAGTGTCCGCAAACAAACAAAAATTGCGAAGGTCTAGACGATGAGATTAAACAGCAACGTCAGAGCAGAGGACACCAACACCTACACAGACACACATATACACAGACACATTCATAGGCATGCCTATTTATTGTCTATGTATGCGTGCGTACATACCTTTGTATAAGCGAGCAAACGAATGATGGACGTAGGCAAAAGAGGGAGGGTAAGTAACCAACACATTATATACCCACACACACACACATCCACACGCATACATTCATACACATAGCGGTTGGCCTAGGTCAAAACGACGCGACGCGACGTTTTGAGCGCTGAGCGTGTTCTATTAGACAGCACCCGGGGGTGGGTGAGCCTTCTTTAGACGGCGCGTGTGCAAATTAATATAATAATAACTTTTAATATTCCAGCATGACTCTACACTTTTCCAATAGATAATCGACAGCACTGACGCCATTTGTCATTGTAATAACATTCTACAAATATTGCACATACTTACATATGTTTGTATGTATGTACATATATGTACAAATATGTATCTATAAATGTTATGTTTTTTTTGCGTTAGTTTGGCGAAATTAAATATTTTCATGTCAAGGTAGAAGGCGAAAGGAAATCAAGGCTGCCAGCAAAAAACAACCCTCAGAAATTTTCACTTTCGCAATGGCAATGGTAGTAGCAGCACCAGCCCCATGTGCAAGCGGTTCCCTTTCATTTAACAGCCTCGCTTTCCAGTCACCTTCCCATCCGCCCACTGTTCAGCCTGCAATCAGCAGCAGCAGCAGCAGCAACAACTACAGACAGAATGCTTACTCACTGCACAAGCGAGCTCACATAAGCAGACACACGCACACACACTGCGACAGTTGCGCATTGCCTGCTTGTGGCTGATGTTGTTGAAAACTCATGCACAGCCTCCTTATGGGCCGCGCACACAGTACCATGTAAAAACGCCAGCCACCAGCAATGTGCTGTCGAAAACACTTGCACGCCCTCCACGTGTAGTTCAAGTTCATGACAAACGACGAGCACACGAGCGATATGCAAGCGAGAGAGTGTGAGAGAGAACGTTGTGTACGAAGTGTGAGATTGCGTTGCTGTCGCTGCTTTTGTATATTGTCTGCAGCTGACGTCAGCGTCGCGTCGCTGTCTACGCCGACAGCGCCGTGCAGTTTTCGGCCGAAGGGAGAGTTCTTCTATGTGCATGCCTATGAGTGAGCGTGTGCGTGTGTATCTATGTGCGTGTGTTTGTATGGCCATTGCAAAATTTGCATTGCATACTTATTTTAAAGAGCTTGTTAAATAATCTAGAATAGTGCATATGCTAGGCATTTTTTGTTGATTACAGTTACAAATTACGAAAATTTCATTTACATTTTGATAGCTCAGCGTAAGTCCAAGCGGCGACAAAGCAACCTCATTCCGCGCTCGCCATCCAGAAGGGTCAACAACCTAACGAAAAGCTCATGACGACGATAATACATTTTATATTTTCGTATGTATGTATTTTCGAAAAATGTAAAGAAAAGAAATCCGAAAACAAAGTGAACATGTTCACACACACACGTATATACAATGTATATATACATACATGCGTACGTATGTGTATGTGTGTGTCTGTGTGTTTGTTAAAAGAAATGTGAAGCTTCCAGTCAGAGTCGAAATTTCAGCTGCTGCTGCCAAACTGGGGGATCGTGTTGTTGTTTCGTTTTGTCGTTGTCGTTGTCGTCGGGATCGCCGCAACAAGAACAACAACCACACTCAATACACAAAAATTTGTGA